AAAGTGGAAATCTCTGGAGCTTTGCTTTCCTACCAAAGTGTAAGTCAAAAGAAATATCAAACCCTTAGGGGACAATGTCAAAAATTAGTTCCATCATCAAAAACTTGAAAAATGCAGGGAAGGAAATTCCTATCGCATCCCCGTATAATTCACCTGTTTGGCCTGCACGGCAGTTGGTTGGGGCTCGGTGGATGTGGCAGTTTTAAACTAGAGCTCCAAAGTTCTTTGACGCTTCTCTCATTGAGAAGGTCGGGTCGATGCCCCAGCCCTTGAACCTGGGTAGGCTTGCGACTGCTTCAACCATATGATACAGCAGAAATGACACTATGAGATTTCCGAGGCCAAGTCACAAAAGGTTACGCGGTTTCATGCCTTATTCACCCCAACACTTGCTTTTGGTACTTCGAGCCACCAAGTGCAGAGTGTGACTATATTGAGGCTGCTGCGCTGTAAGGAAATCTAAGCCACAAGGAGAGGCCATGTGTGGAAGGTCCTTCCGACCCAGAGAAACCGGGCCTTCCAGCTGAATTCTCAGCACAATTGGAATCTGTCAGCATAATAAAATGGTTGTTTAATGACGCCAAGTTTTAGGATGCTTTGTTATTCCTCTGACAAATTATGCTGAGGAATTCAGACAGGATACGGTAAGAATATTTTCTCTCTGCTCCATAATGTCTGGGGGGTGGAGCTCAGCTGGGATGACTTGATGGCTAAGGGTGACTGGATGGACGGAGGCTGTAATATTCTGGAAGCTTCCTCACTTGCATGCCTGTTGCCTGTGCTAGGATGCTTATTCCAGCTATTTCATATGAGTGGAATCATACAATATTTGTCCCTATGTGTCCGGTTTAGTTAATCTAGCGTGCTGTTTTCAAAGTTCTTCCATGTGGTAGCAAGCATCAGTACTTCATTCCTTTTCTTGGCTGAGTGATATTACGTCGTGTTCCATAACATTCCATCGTATGGATAGACCACACTGTTTCTCCATTCGACCGTAGGCGGACATTTATTTGGGTTGTTTCTACCTTTTGGCTCCTGTAAAGCATGCCGCTGCGAGCATTCACATACACGTCCCTGACTTCGTGTTTGCGTCCCTGTTTTCAAATCCTTTGGGATTATATAGCTAAGTGTGGAATCAGAGTCATATGGAAACTCTGTTTAACCTTCCGAGGAACTGGCAGACTGTTTTCCCCAGCAGCTGCACCATGATACGTGGAGTACTACGCCATTATGGCAGAGTGCTGCTGCTCACGCCTGACTTTAGGGCTTGGCTGGTCAACGATGCCCAGTCCGTGATGTGCAGTTCAGGTCTTAAGATCATTTATATTGCACAGTCATTCATTTTCCTTCAGGAACTAAAGCAAGGCAGGAACTTTTCCTCCCAGCAAATTGGGGTGTGTGTGTGTGTGTGTGTGTGTGTGTGTGTGTGTGCGTGTGTGTGTAGGTCTTAGCTTCACTTTTATCCCAACTCCAGAGGCCTGAGCTGTGATTCTCTTATCGGGACACGAAAAAGACTCTGTAGCATCCTAACAGAGTATGTCGCCTCCAGAGAGAGGCCCACCAAGCACTATGCTTCTTTCTTAGTGGCAGTAGGTTCGAATCTAGCAAGTTGTTTCTCTTTTTGGAAGAACCATCTCAACATGCCTCAGCCCACTGGATGCCCAGAAACTCCAGGAGGGACTGGGCCCCTGAATTTTCCTGGGGCTTATCTCTCATCCTGTGGTGAAATATTTGCTACTTCCTAAGCATCAGGCCCAGTCAGCATGGTGCCAATTTAACAGACCAGCGTGATGTCTTGGGGGAGAATGAAAGGATCAAGTCAGTCCCTGGGGACTTAATTATGATAATGTGCCATAGAATTGAAGAGACGGGGCCCTGTGGGGCTTCCTTTTACCTTTCTTTCCGTAATTGTCCTCAGTCCTTGAGTCAGGAAGCCCCTGTGGGAATTTTTCCATTTGCGATTCTGTTTATCCCAACTATGCAATCGAGAACTGGGGAAAGAGGCACAGGGGGGTCCACAGGGAATGCAAGGGACTAAGACTCCATTTCTGACCAGGGGACCACCAGAGGAAAGTAGAAAGAAGGTTTAAAACACAATATGCACTTGTAATATTAAGTGTACCTGGCAGAACCTTGACTTGAGAGCTCTGAGCCTGTGGACTGATTGGATCTGGGAATTAGAAGAGGGGCCATGATTTTCTCTTGTGATTCAAGGCAGGCTGCCATTCACCAGACCTAGAGTTTTTGTCTTTGATTGTTGGAGTTACACAGATCATGGTGTACTACAGGTGGCCTATTAACAGAAAGAACACCGTGATCAATTAGCCACCGCCCAAAATCCGTGGGGAGAAACCATCCTGGTTTCAGCTGACAGTCCTGCTGCCTATCATGATACTCATCTTGTTTCTATGAGATTTAGTGCTATCACTTGGCCTCTGCTGCTCCAGGATCTCATCATCATTCTCACTGAGAGCGCAAGTCTGTTTCCATGGCAACACTTCTTGCTTCCTTTCCCAGACTAGTTTTCCAGAACCTTTACCAAAGTATAAGTGTTTTGGCGAAAGGAATGTCCTTTGAGCCCTCTCAGGGGATGTAGTTAAGAGATGTGCCAGTGGGTTGCACATGACAACTCCATTCCAACACTCCCACCTCCCTGAGAGTTGGGATTGGAGCTGATGAGGGATGGGAGGAGTAGGACATGAGAACTGGCATCCCCTTGTTCAGTAACTGACCAGGTGAATTCATTAGAAGGTCTCCAATAAAGGCAGGCTCAGCCTCATCAGACAGAGGCGGAGGATCTGCTTCTGCTGCTAAGGGAAGGTCCATGGGATTTCTGGGTTCAGAAGACACAGATTCATTCAACCAATACATACTGAGCATCTTCTAGGAGGTGGGTATATAGCAGTGAACGAAATAGACAAACATTTCCTGGCTTCATAAGACTAATAGTCTAGTGATAAGACAGATAGTAAATAAGGTACATTTAAGGAAAGAGGAAGACTGTGCCTGGAGTAGTACTGAAAAGCCGAGAGGCAGTGTGCTGTATTAGTTTCCTAGGGTTACCATAACAACTTACCCCTAACTGGAGGGCTTGAAACAACAGAAACTTATTTTCTCATAGTTCTGGAAGCTGGAAGTCTGAAACCACTCCATCTCTTTCTCCATCTTCCCATGGTCTTCACCTCTTCTGTTTGTGTATCTTTTCCCTTCTCTTCTAAGGACACTTGTCATTGGATTTGAGGTCCGCCTGGGTAATCTAGGACAATTTCATCTCAAGATACTTAACTTAATTCCACCCACAAAGACCCTTTCTCCAAATAAGATCACATTCATAGGGGCCAGAAGTTAGGACGTATCTTTTGGGGGCCAGCTCTTCGCCCTACTACAGAAGGGAAGCCATCGAAGGACTTGGGGCAGAGGAGGGACATGGCGTGACTCACAGTTCAATGGCTCTTTCCAGATGCTGAGTTGAGAAGACACTATAGTTGGAAAGAGAAGAAGCAGAGGGAACTGCAGGAGGCCACCGAAAAAATCTAGGAGAGCCATAAAGATGGCTGGACTACAGTGACAGCAGTGAGGGTGGCGTAAAACCATCAGATTCTGCATCTCTTTTTGAAGGCAAAGCTGACAGGCTTTGCTAACAGATCCAATGAGTGTTGGAGAAAGACGAAGCCCATAGGAAAAACCGTCACTGAGGAGAACCTCAAACTTATTCAGCCAAGCATATACCAGTGACGTGTTATAAAACAGTGGATTGGTTGACACTGAGCACTTTGGTTATCTATAAAAAGTCAAGCTAGATCATCATTATTACCTTGGCATACACCAGAATAAATTCTGGATAGACTAAAAGTTACATGAGGAAAAAACCATCGTCTGTTTTTTTTTTTTTTAAAATTCCAACGTATTTTTTTCTTAGTTTCAGGTTCATATATTTTTTTAAGCCACGGTAAAATAAAATGGGAAATTTTCTATTCTTTGGACGGCAGAGGAGGAATGGAAAAAAATATCAGCTAGCCTCTTTTGTCAGCGGCAACTCATTAGGAAAGACAATGGCAAAATATTCCATTTACAACCGCAATAAAGGTTTAAATAACTAGGGATCAATCAAGTCCACACAGGCTAGGCTAAGAATCTCCGCTTGAGAGACAGAAAAGCGAGAGGTGCACCAAAGACAGAAGGGAAGAGGGCTTGCTTGAACCAGGGGCGCTACTTCCTGGCTGTCCAATTTTGCAGCCACTAGCGACCTGTGACTGTTGAGCACTTGACATAGGCCCCGGTCATGGAGTTCAAATGGAGATGTGCTGTAAAGGTAAAACACACACCCGAAAGACTTGGCAGAAAAAAAAAAAGCAAAATAACCTATTCATAAGGTTGTATATTGCTTATCTGTTGAAATGATATTTCGGATCGCTGGGGGAAATAAAATTTGTTATTAAAATAAATTTCACCTTTTTCTTTTGACTTTTTCCCCTTCGAGTCTGCTGAAAAATTTAAAAGGACTCAGGTGGCTCTCAGTCTATTCCTATTGGCCAGCGCTGCTCTAGCTGGATGGGAATTGCAAGCAGCAAAGGGCTTTCAACATCTCTGTGCCTTAACGTCTTAATTGTTCAATCGAGAATGATCCGACACCAACCTTAAAGGGTCGGCGAGAGAAGCAATGAGCTACTTCCAACACGGTACTCAGCCGGGTGCCCGGGTGCCCAGGTGCCCAGGTGCGCAGGTGTCCAAGCGCGGGTTAAACCCAGAGAGGGTAAGTGAACAGCAGCCTGGGCCACGACCACAGACTATGGGCCCCCCAGGGCGGACTGCACATGCGCACCCAGCCTGGGAGGGCAAAGGCGGGGGACGCGGGGGGGGGAAATGTCCGGGCCTAAAGCATATGCGCATGCGCACGCGCACGCGCACGCGCTCATTCCCCCCCCATGGCCGAGTCAGCCAATGCGATTGCGCAGGTGGCTCGCTCACGCCTCGGGCTCGGCCTCCTTATCCTGGGCCCGCCCCGCGTCACGGCACGCACAGGGAGGTGCAGAGTTGGGCGGGTCCTAGCGGCGTGGCCTGACGGCGGCGGGAGTCTGTAATCGCTCTCTTGGCTGTGGCTCGCGCGGCTCGCACGGCTCGCACGCTCTGTGGGGGAACATGGCGGACATGGAAGGTAAGGGTCGTTCCCTTGTGATTGGTTGGGTCGAATATCCCCGGCTGGGGCCAGTTCCTCCTGCTCGGAGAGTCTGGGTTGGGAGATGGCTTTGGGCCTGAGCTTTCCGCTAGTTCCAGCTGCCGGGCTTCCTGCCGGCCTTGCCTCTTGGCTTTGGCACAACGGGTGAGAGCAAGAAAGCGGGAGGCCCTCGCGATCAGGGGGCGCTGCGAGGCTCGGAGCTCCTGCTTAGAGCCCGGGTCGCCATCAAAGGCATCGGCCGTGCCTGCGACCCTGAGATGGCAGGAGTCGTTGTAGTACCTGTGCCGCCCGCAGGTCAGACGCCACAGTCAGCGAGCGCTACGCGATGAAGGATGGAGAGGATGGTTGGAACGGGCGGGGAAGAAAAAGGGGCCGAGGGGCTTGGGTACGGGCATAGTTTCGACATGCGAGAAAGTTATAGAAGTCACATATCCGCGGGGACAGTCAAGCGGTCACTTATGGAACTTTTCGTCCCGCTTCTGCGGCATGTTTAAACCCCGCCACGGCCACGTGGTGAAGCGAATGGAAGCTGACACGTGCGACTGCTTTCAGTCGGTTACGGCGCCATGCAACCCACGCTTCTGGCCTTACACACTTTGTTTACCCAGCAATTGCAGACCAAATCCATTTATCTGTCTTGGGTATCGTTCCCTATTTTAAACTTCATTCGTTGCCTTTATTTTCGGGGAGAACTCCCAAATCTCGTTGTTGTTGTTGTTTTTTTTTCGTTAGAAATTATTTTGCCCAAGAAGCATAAGAAGAAAAAAGGGGTGAAGTCATTACCAGAAGAAGATGTAGCCGTGAGTAGGAATATGTTTTACCGTTATGACTAGAGGAGAAAAGTCACTTAGATAACAGATTACAGAAAACTACTATTTTTAAATGTTTCAGAGGAATTGGGAAGTGCCCCCAGGCAAGCTAAGCCTCGCCTGTAAGATAGTTTACTAAACGGTGTTGGCCACCAACTGCTTTCTCTGAAATTCTATCTTATCTCACCTGCAGACCTGCTGTCCCTTGTTCTCTTTAAATAACTGTCCTCGTCTTGTGGGCACTTCATTTACCGTTTGGCTCATTCCTTCTCTTGCCCTTGGAGATAGTGAAGAAGCATAGACTCCTTCGTTTTCTATTGAAAACACATAGGCTTTCGTGGTGGCAATGCCATTGTCCAAAATCAGGTGGGGAGTCTAACGGTATGTTTCTGTCCCACGGAAGGAAATACAGCACGTCGAAGAATTTCTTATCAAACCTGAATCCAAGGTGGCTCAGTTGGACACATCTCAGTGGCCCCTGTTGCTAAAGGTAAGGTGTTCCAATTGTGTGTGAGGTCAGTGCGTCACTTTGACTTATTTGTAAGTGTTAACCAGTGCGTTAAGAGTGCTTAATGCTAGCGTTCATTCCTCACTTGGAAGTGCCAGGGGCTGCAGCCTCAAGCAGTGTTCCTCAAGGTGTCTGAGGGGAAGAAGCGGGTTTTAATTTTTTTGCATTTTCAATGCACCCAACACTGTCTTAGAATATAGTTAAAATGTCGAAGCGACATCAAACTGCTGTTTATGAGCAGTTCTCGGTTTCTGTGCTTAACTGCATCTTATAGACTTGTACCGGTTTGTGGCCCACACTCGGAGTAGGACTGCTTTAGTGCTTGAGAAATGTGGGCTTTGAAGCCAGACCAATTTGGGTCAAGCAGTGTGTGACCTTGGGCCGGTCATTTAACCTCTTTGAAGTTGTTCTTAATATCGTCTCTTAGGAAGGCAAACTAAAGGCTGCAGGAGGTAATCCATGAAATGTGTTTAGCCACGGTGCCTGGCATGTCATGTCCTCTAGAAATGATTGACTATTGTGTTGGGTTTTAAATAGGGGGGTTTAGTAATGAGTTTAATTACAAGTTTCACAAATGACGTACTGGGCACCAGCTCCGAGATGAGGAGAAAAAGGGCAGAAAAAGTTACTAACACTCCTTGACTATACACACACATATGTATGTATGTTATCGTAAAAGAATGTGATTTGCTTATATAATTCACAGTTAAGTTTCTACTTGGCCTGCCGTGTCTTCCATTTAGATGCATCTGCTTTTCTATTGTACGCCCTGGGGATGTGCTAGCGAACCTGATAGGCAATGTCCCTACTGTCACAGAACTTAAAATCTAGGGGTGGGAGATAGGTAAAAAATAATTGCTATTTGTAGGAAGCTCCGTGATGAAACTAAACTAAACTGGGTGGTATAAAAGATGGCTTCGCTTGAGGGGAGCACTGTCAGATCAGTGGTTTAGCCTCAGAAAGGGGGGGGGGGAAGGAGCAGACATGAGAAAAGGCAAAAACAAGATAGTCATGTTTGAGAAACATCAACGGGCCTCAATTTGGCTGTCTGTTGTCTCTGAAAAAATCAAAGGTGGTTCATGTTCCAGTCGTAAACCTGCACAGTGACGCTCACTCTGTTCTGTACTTCCCCAAGAAGTCTTTCTAGAGGAGTGATCAAATTTGTCTTTTTCGGGGGCCGTATCCAAACGGTGTTTGCTGGGTTCCTCGCTTGTCTGGATTCAGGGCGCTTTTAAAAGTGCTGCTTCTCTCTGAAGGAGCATCCTTCTGTGAGCCTTGCTTCCCTCCCGTAGGCTGACAGACAGCGGAGCAGCCAGCGCACGAAACCGCCGTTTGTGCATAGCTAAAGTTGGTGGTGATTTGATTAGCTGGGCATTTCACACCCACGGAGTAGGAATTGGGCCTCCGCACCGGGCCCAATGGGATGGGGGAGGTCCTTGGAGGCATGTTCTCGTGGGTAGTTAGTTGTCAGCGCTGGAAAGAAATTTGTCTTGTTCTTAGTCACAGGTGATCTCCCCAGTACGTGAGGGGGCTTAACACTTTGTCACAGCAGATAATGAACATATGAGTTGAGTTTATTTTGTGTTGTATCATTGCTTCTAGAATTTCGATAAGCTCAATGTAAGGACGACACACTATACACCTCTTCCCTGTGGTTCAAATCCTCTGAAGAGGGAGATTGGGGATTATATCAGGTAAGCATGTTGGGAGCAGCCGCTGCTCTTTGCACAGTGACCCTCTCATGTCAGTTATGCAAGGGGGTGGTGGCATCTTAGAATGGCATTGCCCTAAGTGTGTAACCTGTACCCACTGTGAACTCTTTTTTACCCTTCAAGTTTCGTTTTCGCGGGAGGACCAGAGCCAATGGTCCAGTAATTTCTTTTCCATTCTAGGACAGGTTTCATTAATCTCGACAAGCCCTCCAACCCCTCTTCCCATGAGGTGGTGGCCTGGATCCGACGAATACTTCGGGTGGAGAAGACAGGGCACAGTGGTACTCTGGATCCCAAGGTGACTGGCTGTTTGATCGTGTGCATAGAACGAGCCACTCGCCTGGTCAAGTCACAGCAGAGCGCAGGTATGTGGAGGAGGGAGGGAAGAGGTGGGCGGCTTCCCCTGAGATTGGAAGGCTTTCTGTATTTCCTGTCCCTTCTACATTGTGGCTCTTGGAAACGATTTCTTTATTAGCTAAATAAAAAAATCCTTAAGCAGGGAAACTCGTTTCGTTTCTGTGTCCCTTCAGTCCTCTGCCGGACCCCGGTTTGTCCGGCCTTTCTGGGAGTTCCGGGTACTAGGCAAGCGCACACTGAGCCCATGATGTCCGTCCTAGAGCCAGGGCAGACTGCGTCCGCGTGCAGCTCTTGGCCTGTCACCCCGGGCTCGTCTGACGTCATGCTGCCGCCGCCACCTCAAGTGCCCTCCCGTCAGTCTCTCCTGGGGAGATCCCCCGACTTGACCTTCACAGAGTTTCATGCAGGCAGGCCCTGCACCGGGCGCTCCGGCTGCCCCCGTCAGCGCACTGCCGGTCGAAGTCCCCACGAGAAAGCCATTCCTTTCCCACGTCTGCACCGCGAAATCTGTCTTGCTGCAGATTTGACAGAGATAGGGCGAATTGTCTGCTTTTCCTGCCACACAAAATGGGAGAGAGATGAACATGTAAAGAAAACAAAACTCAGTGGCCACACCTGACTACTCTTTTGTCATTTTTCAGGCAAAGAGTATGTGGGAATTGTCCGGCTGCACAATGCCATTGAAGGGGGGACTCAACTTTTTAGGGTAAGTGTGTAATCCTAGGGAGGGCATCTTTCGGCAACTTGGATCTCTGAGCCCGTAGGTGTCTGGAAACAGCTCGGCTTTCCTGGCTGGCCTCTCCTGTCCTTTCAGTGGGCTGCCCTAGGCAGCCTGGACAGCTGACTGCAGATGGCAGGGGCACTTCTGGCCATGGCCCTTCTGGGGAGAAGGATCTGATTAGCTCGGAGCCATCCCCGTGTAGCGGAAGGAAGAAGCAAAAAGCGAAAGGGCCTTTTAGATCTTAACCGATCGAAAGAAACCGTGTGTGTGTTTCTTACCCTCCCCAGACGTGCCCTTTATCTCGTTTGAGAGTGCACGCAGGGACAGTCCTTACTTCGGTTCATGCTTGTTCTCAGGCCCTAGAGACTCTGACGGGCGCCTTATTCCAGCGACCCCCACTGATCGCTGCAGTCAAGAGGCAGCTGCGAGTACGGACCATCTACGAGAGCAAAATGATCGAGTACGATCCCGAGAGGAGACTAGGTGGGTCGTTAGGCCCGTGAGGAGCTGAGTTGACACAGACCGTAGGTGGCCAGGGACACATTCCTGCACTTCGCACTGATAACAGATGCCCTCAGTGTGTGGTGCAGCTGTGGCCTGTGTCTACCGTCTCCAGTCTCACTGGCTCAGGTAGAGAATAACTGGGTTTCTCAACTGGTGGTGTGTTTACTTTGGCAAACGTGTGCCACTTTGCGTGTGTGTGTGCGCGTGCCTTAGGAATCTTCTGGGTGAGTTGTGAGGCCGGCACCTACATTCGGACGCTGTGTGTGCACCTCGGTTTGTTACTGGGAGTCGGCGGTCAGATGCAGGAGCTTCGGCGGGTTCGTTCTGGAGTGATGAGCGAAAAGGTAACGTAACACGCCGTCATGGGGCGAGCAGGTTTAGAGCTGGCACTTAATGCTTTCTGGCCCTTGGGCGGGACTTTACCTGCTCCCGTCCCGGAATAGGCAGTTTCCAAAGTGTTGAGTTCAGTTCAGGGCAGCTTCCCTGTTCTGCTAATTAAACTTTGGGACACTGAAGCACAGGCTAGGGGACATGACTGGATAGAAAGCATCACTCTGTTCGTTCATCTCCCAGCCTACAAAAATGCTTGCTCGGATTTAAGTGTATCAACAGTGAGAGATGTCCAGAAGAGAAGTGATTCTGAAGAGACTGAGGACCGATGAGCTCGGACTAGCACACAAGACTGAAGTCACTCGGTTTTTGGAAATTCGGGGTCTGTTGGGCTCTTTGAGGTACAGTGACACTGGCTGATTTTCATACACGGATGCTTTTCAGGACCACATGGTGACAATGCATGATGTGCTTGATGCCCAGTGGCTGTACGATAACCACAAGGACGAGAGTTACCTGCGACGAGTTGTGTACCCTTTGGAAAAGCTGTTGACATCTCATAAACGGCTGGTTATGAAAGACAGTGCGGTACGTTTGGATTTTGGGTCCCCGTTTGGACAAAATGGGACTCCGGAGACGAGACGTGGTCCGTGTTCTGAAAACTTTTTCTACTTAAGTTCACAACATCGTGTTCTGTTTCTTTATTTTCCTTGGGGTTTATTTTTTTGCTTTTGTAGATTTGACACTGGATTCATTTTCCTTTAGTTTATGGTTAACTTTATTATTGAATCCGAACCCGACGTACTAAATGAAACTTTAATGCTAGGCCCAATTCTATTTCAAAATAAGGCAAATTCATTTTCCAAAGAGGTATCCCAAAGTAACTTGGTTCAAGAAATAGATCATCAGCAGTACATGAAATTGGCCCTCCCGTAACCTGGTAGTTCTGCATGTGCCTAAGAAGCCTTGAGTTAAGTTATTTCTGTTCTGTGAATTTCATAAAATTTTATTGTTTAAATAAATCCCACTTCGGGTCTATAAAATCTAAAGATCACTGGGCCTTTCAAGCCCTTCACGTATTCATTAAATGACATCGAGAGTAGTCCTCTTAATAATGCAAGGAGATATGCAATTAGTTTTGTCAGTTTGGGTTTCTTCTTTAGTAGCGATTCAAGGATGAGTTTGTTCCCGAAAAGTCCAGAATTTTGTACATATCCTTTTCTAATGGTATGATCAGAGAACGTGGCCTTTTATAAATTAGGATTGTCTTTGTGGCCAAATGCAGAATCACTTTTGTAGCAATAAAAAATTCTTTAACTTTGAAGGCTGTCAGTTTCTGTGTATATTTAATAGAGGTTTATCATTCATATTCAGATCAGATAGACATGTTTGATGTATCTTTTATACATTACTGTTCATAAGGAAAGATGAAAAACTGAAGAGGCATCCTAAAGCATGCCACTGTGACTGCAAACTCGTAACCGCATGAAAGAGAACAGAAATGTGACATGCTCTCCTTACGCTGGGGTCAGACTGCCTGCCGGCTTCTGGCTGAATTTAGGGGGAGGGTGGAAAATGGTCAGCAAGAGATCTAGGTGAGTAAAGACAAGATGACACAAGGCAGATGGATGCATTGAGTGCCACTGAACTCAGGGAGGTAGCCTTATCGCGTACTTGTTGGCCTGTAAGTTGTGCCTAAACTCGGGTATAATTTGGTCCAACAGGCCTTGGCTGTCTGCCTTGCCAGTTACTCTGGAAGCCTGTTACTGCCCAGAGCCCCCAGTCAATCTCTTTGGTCTCTTAGTTCTGTCCAGATTTTCCCCTTAATGATAAGGAATAGAGAAGAACAGTTACAGAAAACTAGGGCTGGCTTTTGGTTTACGATGAAAACTTCCTTAAGTCCCACATTCAGACAAGGAGGAGCTACTTCAAGGCCCGGTGGGCGGTTACCATATGCAGAGTCACTTTGGGTGCCCGTGGCACCAGTAGCTCTCAGTGCTGTTGGCATCATCTCCCATGTGGGGAGATGCTCGCAGGCCCCGCTCCCCGTCATCCGCCCCTGCCCTGCTGTGACCAGGCTGTCACAGTGCCGTGTCCCTGCAGGTGAATGCCATCTGCTACGGGGCAAAGATCATGCTTCCGGGTGTTCTCCGGTACGAGGACGGCATCGAAGTCAACCAAGAGGTCGTGGTCATCACCACCAAAGGGGAGGCGGTCTGCATAGGTAGGGTGGTCGCTCTCATCCCTTCAGCACCATCGAAGCCGGGCTCAGGGAGAGCAGGTCCCCATGCCCTGGCCCCCTCAGTGCAATCTACTCAGTGTGTTGCCAAGGCTTCATAGGGTGGTCACAGTGAAGGGCCCTGTCAGGCACAGGCATGGAGCAGATGAGTGTGGTTCCTCCTTGTCCCATGGGCTGCTGCTAGAGGCCACATCTCAGCAGCTTGACTCGCTGGCGAGACGAGGGGAAATTGTCAGTGAACGGATACGTGTCCATGGCGAGCGGCGGGGAGCCTTTAGGCCAGCCCTTAGCCACACGCACGTCCTCAGTGGAGGACACCTCGCTTAGGCATTCAAGCTTCGAATCTGGAAAGGTGTGAAACAAGTCAAGCTTTCTGGTCACCACCGGTCATCAAGGCTCTGCCCTTCAGGTCATTCTCTTATCTCTTTGTGACATGCTCAGCCATTGCGCTAATGACCACAGCGGTGATCTCTACCTGCGACCACGGGATAGTAGCCAAGATCAAGAGAGTGATCATGGAGAGAGACACTTACCCTCGGAAGTGGGGTTTAGGGCCAAAGGTAAGTGGGGCTGGGCGTGTGCCCTGTCAGGTGGTTTTGTTAGCGTCGTTGAATACTTGGGCAGCCCTTGTGTGTCCCCGCTGCCAGAGCCTTGCCTTGTGCTGGGCTCAGGGGGAATCACTGGTCAGTGGAAATGGGCCTGTGTCAGACCTTTGAGGTTCCGGTCTAATGGAAGGAAGCAGCTGAGCGTCCCTCAGGCTGCACAACAGAATGGCAGATATTAGCCAAGCCGAGGGCTCATCAAGGGGGCAGAGGTGCCTGGCACCTGCAGAGCCCACAGTGAGGGGTTCGACCTGGTAGATGGGGGAGTCCGAGTAAGGGGTCTTCATTGAGCCACGCCTGTGTGCAGGATGTAACACTAGATGTCGATGAGGTGAACACGGGAGGGAAGAGTCCAGGGCAGCTGCAGTAGTATGTGCAAAGGCTGTGTGCCACCAGATGACACTGCAGAGGCTCTGCAGTGTGAGTAAGTGCAGAGACAGTAAGCTTTGTGACCTTGAACGAGTCCCGTGTTTGCTCCTGTTGGAGAGGGTGGGTGAGTTTTGAGTGCTCGGCAGAGGAGCGAGTCCCAGCTGAGAATACACAGAGGAGGAACTCTAAGGAGCCGCCCGCATGCAGCCGTGATGCCTGCTTATGTGTCGACACCGTTCTAATGTCAAATCTCCGATGGTTCGCCAGGCAAGTCAGAAGAAGCTGATGATCAAGCAGGGCCTTCTGGACAAGCACGGCAAGCGCACAGACAGTACGCCTGTCACTTGGACACAGGAGTATGTTGACTACAGGTGAGAGCAGGACGTTTTCGATGAGCAGGGCAGGCAGGGGCGGCATGCTTGCCGCCTGGATGCAGTAGCACATCAGCGACAGGTGAGGATGTGAAGGCAGTGAGGTTAGGTGGGGTACATGTGGCGCACTGGCCACCTGGATGGGGGCATCAAATCTAACTGAGGACAAGGTCGTGGGGCCCAGGTGTGTGGAGGGAGCCAATTAGTTCAGGGGAACTTACTAAACGGGGGGCCAGAGGAACCCCTGTGGCAGGTCGCGAGGCCTTGGTGGCTGTAGGGGCGCAGCAGGTCGCTTCACTTTGACTGCCCGGGCCAGTTAAAGGACAGCAGACAGTTATCCCTTTCTAGTCTGGCTCGTGGGACTCTAGAGGGAGTCAGTCTGCAACAGTAAGTGGTGAGTTCTTCCGTCCAACGTCAGCATTTTGATGGTGGCCTCAGACTTGCCAGATATCACCGGTCGACTGCCGGGCAGCGGTTCCTCCGTGGACGGCTGCTCAGCCAGGCCGACTGATCGCCCCGTCTCCTTTCAGTGATGCCGTGAAGACTGAGGAGGTGGCCGAAGCAGTGAAACCCCCGAAGGTGGGTGGCATGCTGTGGTCAGTGAGATGTGCTTCGGGAGATGCTCGTTGGGCCAGCCTTGGTGACCGGTGAGGGCCATCCAGCCGTACATCCTGGCTCGCTCAGTGTGGCAGGGCTGTCCGCCCCCCTGGGAACACCGTGCGCACAGCTGATGCTGCAGGGCGCTCACTTGGGCTCTGCAGGTGGCAGTTCACGTTCCCTGTCGTGTCTGCTGGGGGGCGGGTGTGACAGTTGGACTGGCCTCATCGCCCACCTCAATAAGGCAACGCCACTGAAAAAGTCAGGGGTGCGTGTTTCTCCGGCCCCCAAGTGGCGGCCCAGGTGTGTTGGAATCAGGTGCGACACTGGCAGCTGTGTGAAACGGAATGAAGTGGCCCGAGGCTGGCAGCCTCCAGACAGCAGCAGCTCCGTGTCAACAGTCTGGGAGAGCACGCGCGGGCACCTTGGCTCCCAAGGGATGGCGACCGCTGGCATTACAGCACCAAATGGCGTGTGGCTCTGACATGAGCCGGGTGGGGAGAGCATTTCCTGCCCCCTCCGAGGACCTGGGGGAGCGAGTGCTGCGGGGACCGTGCTGCCCAGCTTCGTGCACCTGCGAGGCCCACCTGTGAGGCCGGCTCCAGAGACACAGCCTTGCTGGGGCCACACGGGCCCTGAGCTCCGCACCGCTCCTGCCGCGCCCGCCGCCTCCTGGCCTTCGAGTTGTTGGGAAATTCCAGGGCCCGTTGGGGTCCATAGTTAGGAACGATCTTCCTCTCGGGCCGGCAGGAACTTTTCTGGGGGCGCCCCCACCTTCCGACTTACGAACCTTTCTCCTCCACTTTTGCCCCAATGTCTAACGTTTGCTCATTTGTCATCGCCTTAGCGGAGGCGAGAGAGCGAAAGTGACGAGACCTCTCCAGCGTCCACGCCATTGGTCAAGAAGGAGAAGAAGAAGAAGAAGGACAAGAAGGCCAAAGCTGCTCTGGAGAGCGCGGGCGAGCCGGGCGACGGGGTGCGTATGGCAAGCACGGTGGCCAGGAGACTCGGGTCCGCCTGCCCCTCGGAGGGCCAGGGATGCCCAGGTGGCGCCGGCTCGGTTAGCCCGGGGGCTGCCCCGCGTTTCTGGCCTGCCTCTGCGCCAGCAGCCCCACAGGATGGACGGTGCGGCATTTCCCAGTGACAGTGCTGAAGATGGTGGGTGGGGAGGGTGCATCCCTTGGGAATCTGGACGCTCCTTTTGCGAAAGTGGACCGCTGGGAATCTCGGGCTTCGTGCTCCGTGCAAAGTCGATTTAAGCCACAGCACCCCGCGGGGCCTGGGTCCTTGGCCGAGCAGAGCTTCCCTGACTGTTAACAGATCCATGGGCTCCCTTTCTTCTCTTTCCCCCAGGACAGCGACACCACCAAGAAGAAGAAGAAGAAGAAGAAAATCAAAGTGGAAGAGCTGTCTGGGTAGGGTGCAGGCAGCACCGGGCCCCTCTGGGAGGAGCAATTAAAGCCTTATGGAGACAGCATAGTTCCTTTTGTTTTTGAGGGAATGCAGCATAGGTCCCGGGGAGGGTGGGGAGTCACTGGCATGTTTCAGCTGCCACTCGAGACCTCAGTGATGTTGCCTGGTGTGGCCATCCCATCTTGTCCTGTTTTAAGGATACGGGTGCGGGAGGCAGATTTGACAGCGCCCAGTCCTCTGCTTGGGAGAGGCGGGAAGCCTCGCCTTTGGCCCCAGCACTGCCCAGTAACCGCGTGCAGCTGTTTCCTGATGGCCGTTTAACATTGTCCTCCTCACTTGCTTCTGCCACCCCCTCTCCTTCTTTGAAAAAGATTGTAAAAATTGTGCAGTGAAATGGTATAGAGCAAGTAAAAGAATTAAGTGAATCTTGTTCGCCGGGGGATGGATCTCCAGCATCCTATGAGAACCGTGCTATTCTGGTGTCAGAGCCACTTCCATCACCCCACGTCCCCTTCTAGACAAAGGCCTGCCGAGGACTCATGGTCTTCCAGCTTCTCGGCCGTTCCCAGTCCCTCCGGTCTAGCAGTCATTGGTGTGCTTATTCAAAGCTTGTGTACAGTCTCATGCACCTACTTGTGTGGCTACTTGTGTTTGTGACAAGCCAACACCTTCCTGTATTCCTCATTTTAATCCTCGTTCACTTTCAAAGGATACAATCAGTCATCAACTGGGAGAAGGTTGTAATTTTTACTTATTAAAGTTTACTTATTACATTTCCTAAGTATTCCTGTTGGGTCTTTTAATCGTCGATGTCAAGCTAGTTGAACACAAGGTACAATCTGATTAAAAATCTAGGGACCTTTATGTCACTCGAAATTTGATGCTTTTCCTTTGGTTAATTTTCTTGCAACATGCACCTTGCGGCCTATCATCTGACATGGAATCAAATAACTGGAATCTTCATCGAAGATGCCAAGTAGGTGCTTGGAGAACCAGCCGTGTTGTGTAGTGGGCCTGACAGCGTGTGTCGGAGTGTGTGGTGGGAATGCCTGAAAAAGCCCAGGGAACATGCAAGAGCTAGGTCTTGACAAGCCTTCAAGTGTCTAGTGACATCTGGGCTCGGTGGGAGCGCACTGAAGCACTGTCGCGGGCCAGGTCGGTGGCAAGAAGGGGGCGGAGATGATGGGTGTTCAGGAATCCAAAGGCCACAGTGAGGTCCAGGATTACCAAAAGCCAAGAAAATGCAAGGGGCAGCTTGGGGGAGGCCTTGGCACATGTGCAGAGTGCATCCCAGTGCTGGCTCGTCGCAGCCTCCAGTGCCAGGGTCTACTATGTGACCAGAATGTGAGCCTCCAGCAGGGCGTAGCGGGAAGCTAAGTGCCTGTCAGTGCGTGAGCTTCCAGCAGGGCGTAGCGGGAAGCTAAGTGCCTGCCAGTGCTGGGTTCCTGTCCAGGACGAGAGTTGTGCGTGGACCCCAGGCGTGGGGCCTGTGGTTGGGGGGTTTGGGGAGGGCACGGGGCGGGGGGAGGTTGTCATCCTAAGCAGCTGCATTTTAGCTCGAGCACTAACGTGCACTCAGTCTGGGCAGCCAGTCGTGTGGGTGCTGTGAAAACCACGTATTGAGAAAGATCGCTGAAGAGAGTGACTTGGGGGAAATAGAAAAGCTAAGCATAGTGGAAGCAAAAATGTTTGCTTATTGCCACGGAGCAAACACTAGACGATCTTACACCTTTGCTCCCCAAGTGTTTTGTATGTTGCACACGTGTCCATGTACAGACACCTGGTGTGATGCACCAAGTTGTGCCCTGCCCAGCACCCAGCACGTGAGAGGATGGGTTATTGCGGCCCCCAGACTCTTCAGGTTGTCAGGGGCTTGGAGGAGGCATCGAGGGTTGATGCCATCCTCCAGGGACCTTAAAGCGGGTGACGTTCCCCGTTTCCCTTCCAGAGGCCGGTGGCGCAGGCAGAAACCCAGAGAGTTACAAGGTCATTGGCATTTCAACGGTAATTTTTATTGCTTTGAGGGTTTTCCTAGAGCAGAGGACATCCTATTGCACAGCTGTTTCATTTTGGCATTTTAGAAAGTTGCAGTTAAAAATAATTTCTTCAAAGTAAGGACAAAGGAAATACCCAGTGTGATTAAAGGTGAAGGTGCGCAGGCTTTCGAGGGACAGGGTCCACTGCTTTTCCTCCCCGCGTGAGCCATCTTTGGCACCTGCATTTGGATAGTACTTCCGGCCCCAGAGATCCTCGAGAAATCCAATGCACGGGGCTGCATGTAGCAGGAAAAGCGGAGCCCAGCCGTTCAGGAGCTTGCACAAGACTGACACCCACTGGCCTAATTAGGATAGTGCATAGAGCTGAAAGCTGACACAAAACTAGTTGGAGCGACCCTGTTTGTCTTAAAGCGAGGGGAATGCAGTTCCAACCACCAGAGAGGGGCGCACAGGCTTAGTAAACCCAGGAGACAGGCACCCACTGCGGGGAACTGCACGCCTGCTCAAAGGCTTCTTGCAGTTTCTTGAGGGTTTCATCAACGCCGTTATTGACCAGTGAGAGGTCAAAGTAGTGAGCGTACTGGCTGCGGATGGCCTCTGAGTCCTTCTGCAGCTGCTGCAGGGCCTCCGTCTGCAAAGAAGAGAGAAAGAACCACCGATGAAGCAGGTCGCAGCACGCTGAGCCCGAGAGGCCAATGACGGGTTTTATTTAAGCGGGTGTGGACTATTGTGACCCGTCCCTGGCTCTCCGTCGCCTACTTAAAGACTCAAACCCTGAAGGCCTTGCTTGAAAATGTTAACAGTAGGCCGCGGAGAGGCAGTTGATTTAGAACAGTTCTCAGAGGACCCCAAACTAACCCTGGCTATAAATAATCAGAGCTCTCTGGAAGACCAGTAGCTACGACGAGATGGCGTGGACTTCACCAGCATCTCCCAGTTCTTGCCTTTGGACGTGGGGAGCCATTTCGGCAACCGCCACAGTCGCAATCCCAGGACAAGAATAGGGGCGACTGCAACCCCAGGCCTCTTTCTAGGACCTCAAACCCAGTGTCCATGAAAACACTGATCATTTAACTCCATAAAAGTAAAAGTGCTTCCGCAGCAATAAACACGAAAAGACACGCCAAACTAGGGGGAAAAAAATATCTACAAGTGATATCTCAAAAGGCTCATCTCTCTCATATGGAGTACCTAGAAATCAGTAAGAAAAAGGCCAATAACCCAAAAGAACAATAAGCTAAGGACATGACCAAGTGTTAACACAAAAGGTAATACAGATGGCCCTTAAGGGTCTGACACTCGACTGCTTATAGTACAAGATAAAGGTACAATGAGATTCCCTTTTCCCTCTATCAGATCGGCCCCGAATGGAAGTTTGGATAACATCATCCTGGCACAGGGAAGCAAGCGCTCTGCTGGGTCATCTGTCCGAGTTCCCCATTACCAAAGCCCGCATACCTGGACCCAGCCAACCTACCT